CTTTAGCTTCATAGAGAAAAGTAACCGACAGTTCGAGTAGCATAGCGGCGACATATGAAAAAATCTAGTATTTGATTGATAATGGCCGCAGCCAGGCTTCGTTAGGGTTCCTATTAACACATATTGTAGAGCTATTCAAGATGCATCGAATGGTATATTACACTAGACTAAATACTGTATAGTTGCGGAGAAATTTTGATTTTACCGTAACACTGATAGTGTAACGGAGGTGTTTCTGTGCGAGTAGATTTGATCGTATACATCCAAGTGGAATCGTCCGATACAGTCGAAAGCACTAAATAAGATAAGTTTGATGAATTCTGGATACTTTGAGGCAATAAAATAACAATAATTTAGTGGGCCGATTTCAAGTCTTATGCGGACTACTCCTTTCATCAAATCCAGTTAATGTTTTCATTATTTTCATGTCATATTCATGATCTAACTTTTTTTTAAAGGTGTGAGCGCGCACTGGGTATCAACAAAGTAACTGGTCTTCAAAGATGGTGTCCCAAACTAGAGGTTTGTTTCTAAACTCCTTTTTTTAAACTGTACAAAGATCATATTCATATTTATGTTTGATAGGAATGGGATGAATGGCGAAAAGTAGCTGGCGCCGATAAAAAAAAAGGTTAAAATTTAATAAAGTGTATGAACATCCAAACTTTTTTTTTGTCACTGATATAACGTAATGACAATGGATTTGAAGTTTTATTTCGATTTCAGTAGTTTGTCGAAGCCGTGAGCTAATCGTGACGATAAGCTTTTAGCTTTATCATCGATGTATTTTTTTTAAACATCACTTGTTTTCTTTGACAAATAAAACAACGACTTGAATCATTAAAGATCAAGGATAATCTTTGCAGACTTAATAATCCATATCAAGATGCACCTACTCCTGCCAATAGATAATATTAGCAAAGTGAATGGTTCCTTCAGATCACTTTATTTTATTTATAACCTACAGCATCTAAAAACCTCGTAAATCAAGCTTTCAGATAGAATATATGCAGTGGAGTTAAAAATTTTTCCGTACACCTATATCCTCTTTTTCTTTTAATCATAATTCAGTAACAAAAACAGCTTTTGACAGCGGTTTGCACCAAAATATTCTCTGCTCTCTCTAGTATATTTGTAGATAAAAAAAAGTTAGAAATATTCATTGTTGTTCTGTGTAAGCTCATTAGACCGAAAAGTGAACGTTTTCCGGTCGGCAAAAAGTTTCCGTACAGTTGATAAAAGCCTTTTTTTACGCTGTATAAACACCGACAAAATATGAAATATGAAAAACGGGTTTCTGGAGATCAAAACCGGCTTCCCAGCCATCAAAAATATTTTCCATCAAAAATTAACGTCATATTCGTGCTTAGTGTCAAAAACTGCGCTTAGTGATGTTTCCCTCAAAGTTTGGCAAAACGTCTGCTTTCGCAAAAATTTTGCTTATCAAAAATGCCTTTGTTCTGCTGTCAGGTGTTTAGTGTCTATCACAAAAACAACGTCTTCAGACGTTATTTTTAGATGAAAGCAGAAGTTTTGCTAAACTTCGAGTGACACATCACTAAATGCAGTTTTTGACGCTGAGCATGAATATGAAGTTAATTTTTGATCGAAAATGTCTTTTATGGGTGGAAAGCCAGTTTTGATGTTCAGAAATTCGTTTTTCTCTCTAAACTTAAACGTCTAAATTTCTCTTTTCGTACCCATATACAGTAACTACTTGACTACATGATGACGCAAGATATCCAAAAGATGTTTACCCTCCGGTGCAGAAAAGATATTTCAAAAATAGCCTCAAGATCCAAAATATCAACAGATGGGTCGAATTCTTTCACTTAACTTCGACACTATATTTATCTTACTCAGTTATGGACGCTCTTTCGAACGGTTAATCAGACTTTTTTTCAGCCACTCATACCTGAGATGGAGCAGTCACACTGAAGAGTATGGAACTTTTGGCAAGTCGCGTTTTCATCCTAAGGAAAAAGCTTTTCAAAATTATTTTTTTACCAAAATGTAGCTCGCGCTCTCCTCTATCGATTGATATAGTTTTAATATTTTGTCGGTGCTTATACAGCTTATAGAAAAGGCTTTTATCAACTGTACGGAAACTTTTTGCCGACCGGAAAACGTTCACTTTTCGGTCTAATGAGCTTACACAGAACAACAATGAATATTTCTAACTTTTTTTATCTACAAATATACTAGAGAGAGCGGAGAATATTTTGGTGCAAACCGCTTGTCAAAAGCTGTTTTTGTTACTGAGTTATGATCAAAAGAAAAAGAGGATATGGGTGTACGGAAAATTTTTGACGTCACTGTACATCTTTCTCACCATATGTTTTTATATTTTTCGTTTATTTGACGTTGTTTTTTTATAAAAAAGAGAAAACATAGTGAACAGACAAAAATATACATACAAGTTTATATCTATGTATCAGGACTAAGAGGAATCGTGAACTGAGAAAAAAACTAAAAACGAATGAATTGTTGCACTGAACCACATATTTTGCTCACTGTTCAACAACCAAACGGACAAGACCGAGAAAAGAAAGACGAGACAATTTCCTAGTTTAGTATAGTTAATTTTTTGTTTTTGAATATAAAAAGGTAAGACGACGAGAGAGAAACGACACAAAAAAAACTTTGTCGAATTTCACAAGCAAAAAAACGAAACAAATACATTCCGCTTAATAAAAGAACAAATAAAAACTCACAAAAAAAACAAATAAAAGTAAAATTTCTCTCACACGGTTTTTATTCACCGGAAACTCACAATAATAACAATAACAAGTAATAAAATACAGACATGCGCGCATCATACATAGGATAAAAAAATTGTCAACAATTTTGACGCATACAAAACAACAACTGTTTATTTTTTATTTCTCATTTCAATGGTGATGAACAAGCTAACGATGAAACATCGCCAACGTTAACAGCTACTGATGAATCGGACGCACTTGGTGAGATAGAAGGTTGTTTTTGTTCATTTGCTAATGAAGTTTTATTATCATCATCATCATTTTTCGATTTATCTCTTGGTGGTTCTGAGAAAAAAAAAGAAACGATCAGTTCTTTCGAAGGGTCACAGCTGTATCGTGCAACTTACGTGTTTCGTTGTTTTTATCCAAAGTCCTCTGTTGAGAATTTTGACGTTCAATCATTGTTATATTTGGTGAATGATTCGTAGGTGAGCTGGAAGATGAAGAGTCGGTTTCCTCATCCTTATCGATATCATGCCATTCATCATTATTTTCCGTCGGTGTATCTGCTACTTTTTCATCGTCATCTTTTCCTGTTCGTTTTGTTTTGTCACCGCCACTACTGCTCGTATCACGTTCGGTTGTATTCGTTTTTGTTGTTTTGGATTTTTTGTTTTCGTCAGTTGTTGTTGTAGCACCTTTAATAGATAAGGATTCGGATACGGCTTCGACAATGAGTTGACCGAGCAAATTATCGACATAACTGCATACAAGAGCTAGAAAGGGGATGACTGCCCTTAGATAACTATTAGAATGAATAGATATGTGCAGAAACACTCCACTCGTGCTATTTAATTAAGTTATTAAGCGCAAAGTTAGTCAAAAAAATTCTCTCTCAACAAACCTCAAAAAAACAGATTTGATTAAAGTTTGGCATTTGTGAATACGTTCTATTAAGTGAAATTCACAGCCAATGTTGCTTCAGACGCATAGATACATCGAAGCACGACTCATCTGTACACAATATAAGTGTATTTGTCGTGAAAGAAAAGAATTTCTTACCTTCCGTACTGTCTTTCGATCGTTGTTTACGATTTTTACGTTTTGATTTAGTACGCCGTTTTTGTTGTTGACTACTGGTTTTTGCGGTTTTTAACGGTGATGTGCCATCTGCATTTGGTGCTGTTGAAGTCGTCGATTTTTGTTGTTGATTTAATTTGGCACCACGACCTCGCCGCTCTCTAGTTGAACCACCTCCACGATGATTTGCAATAACAACACCACGTTGTCGTCCATAGCCACCATTACGATTACCTCGCGAAATTTGTCCACGCATTGCCCCACTGAAACAACGGAAAGACATACAAAAGCTCAACATAACAAAAGTGGCTAAATCAGAACTAAAAAATCTCGCTCATTTCTGCATATAGTATATATCATAACTAACGTCTGTTAAAGGACCCATCGGTTAAGATTAAAAGCCTGTCATCCGGAGTCTAAACTATTATACCATGACGAAACATTACAGGCTCTAACGAATAAAAATCTGCTATTAACGGACTGTTCAGATGGACTCAGGAGAATGCCTGTAATTCCAAAACTAGGATTTTCACGAAAACAGATTTCACCACTCAATTCAACAGATTTTCTTCTACAATATTGATGATAATTATGAACAGTTTTGATATACATTGGACAGGAAAATTTGATAAAGGGCGAGAATATCACTCACATAAACATAGTAGCAAATAAGCACATATCTTCCACTATTTTTTTCCAAAAATATTGTGTATTGATAAGTGTTTCATTGAAGATATTCTTAACAAAAAAGTACAGGTTCTAGCACACATCTGGTCCCTAAACTCATAAATTGAACGACAGAACCTCTCTTTTCGAGTTAGAGCCATTCTAGTCTAACCACCAGGTCTCTCAGGGTGCCATGAGCAATAGCACATCTATCTGAACTCATTCCGCTTGGTCTCTCAATTATTGCTACTACTAATTTTCTCAAGCGAGGGTGGACAGAGTATCTTAACAAAATTCCTGAAAGAGATTCAGGGCTGCTTTTCATTTACCCTCGTCCATTCCATCGTCTTTGATATGTTTCATGTGGCATACTACCATACCAATATTGTCCCATATCATTTGTTTGTTGATAATTATTCATATTATTGTTATGTCTTCGATTATTATTATTATATGATGTTCGAAACGGAGCCGAATTTGGAATAATATCAAAATTGTAATTGTAATCATAATCATTATTCGAATAATATTGATCTTGAAATGAATTGTTATAATTTGTTCTCATTATTGGATAATTATTATTTCGATCATCACCGCGATTAAAACACATACCACCACTATTTCTATTCATTCCACCACCACGATTTGATCGTTGATTATTGATTGGAAAATATCCACCGGCTGAATGTAATGGTGATTGTTGTTTTTGCATATTCATAGGCATAAACCGCTCTTGTTGAGCAGACATTGGCCGACGATTCATGAATCCTCGTGTTTGTTGTTGTTGAAATTGAGGTGATTGACTGTTATTCATGGTTTGAGGTTTAAACGATACTGGCAATGGACGACTAGCAGCAAGTAATTGATCCACAACATTCATTCGATTATCATAAACTGATGAATATGTATTATTATTGAATTGCTGTTGCTGAAAACGATTTTTTTGTTGAAATGGATTCATTTCATCAACATACATATCATTTGGATGACGGTTAAAGAACGGTCGATTTGGCGCTGTTTGGAATGGGCCAGCACCCAGAAGACCAAGATTTTGATTGTTCACGTAACCGTTACCATTATTGAGACGGCGACGGTTATTGAACATACCATTATTATTACTGAAACGATGTTGTGGCTGCTGTGGTAATGAACCGAACTAAAAAGTAGCAGATAGCTTAACTCAAGAAAACAGAATGAATATAGAAAAAGAATTTACTTGATGAGGTTGATAAAGTGGTTCTTGTTGTCCACTTCCACCACGAACAATTTGAAGAATAGCTGGATCAGGAGCTAAAAAGGGTTTAACTCCCATTGGTTGTTGAATCGTTACTTGTTCTATTCGTGTTTCATTCGATGAACGAGGATATCTTCTGTTGTCATTGTAATTAAAATCTGATATTGATGATTTTGTTGTAAAATCCGCTAAAAACGCTTCGTTTGATAACGGTAACAAATCTCGATTATTTGTTGCCGCCTGAGTACCAACATTAACCATAACACGACATGGACTATCCATGATGATGGTCTACAATAATTCAAAAAAAAACAACAGTAGAATAAAAGATCATCGAGCTGTAGATCAAAAACAAGATATAAACTCTTTCAGCTACGCGACTAATCTTAACAAAATGAATTTTGGATAAGTCTAAGAAGGTTAGGCAAATACTTTTGTGTTGCGAAACGTAAAAGTATGTATTCTAGTACAAGAAGATTTCTCAAAAAGATTATTGTAGTTCAAGTTTTTGCTCATCTATCTCTCCGTCGGCTGCTGTTCGATAATAGTACATTCGCTTAATTAAGTCGAACAAAATTTTGTTGAGGTAAGTTTTTTCGACTTACTAAACACTGCTTTAGCTGTATTATAAAGACCAAATAGTAAAGTACAAAAGAATAATAGTATGTCACTAAAATTATATGGACACGCTTCAAAAAAAAAACTACTTACATTTTTAACTTTTTTCAAGATGCGTGGATGCGTGCGTAGTTGTTAGTTTGTCTGTCTAACTGTCTAATGTTTTCACGATCGTAGAAGAAAATGAGAATAAAAGTTAATCTCTAAAACTGAAGTTTTAATATTATTTGACCTCTTGTATTCTCAGATCAGAGATATAAAATGTATAAAACTGTCAGTCAGTCCAATATGCACAGAGCTACACGTGTTTTGTTACAGTGCAATATCAAAATATACAGAAGAAAGAAAAAACTTCTTTGTCATTCACAGTTGCCTAAAATCATACATCCTAAATTCAAAAATAGACTCAGATCAAATTTTTAAGAAAAAGCTGAAAGTTATAGCACGAGATCAAAATAAAATCGATTAAAAAAATAATTTTAAGGTGTAGAGAGAACTAAAACTCTTTAAAAATGTTGAGCGAAAAAACAATTAATTTTTCGCAAGATGTTATTCTTCTATTTATCCGAGCTCGCATAAAAAATTTGTTCAGATGCACAGACAATCATACGTTTTGACTCCATTTTTAGTTTTACATGTATTTACATATGGAGCATACAATGAAGTTTCCTTAAACATTTCAATCTGTTCTCATTCATCTATCTTCAAAATTAAGAGAAAATCAAATAAAACTGTATCGCTGCAACCAAAATAGAGAACATGATGATGCATCTTAAGGATTTAAAGCAAAGAATGTTTATTATAATCCCAACATAAAAAAGAACAAATACTGCACTTGAATGAGCTAGCTAAGAGATAAAAAATTCTCTAATTAAAATGATAACAAAATACAAACCAACAGTTTCCCAGGCTGACTACACATAGTGTGAAATAGCGTTATCGATTAGGGGATGGTAGGGGGTGGCATACCACCCCTCGTTTGGATACAGATACTCAGAAAATTTTGACTTACTCGAATTTTTTAAGAAATTTAAGTAGAGAGACTGCCTTTTATGCACCTGAGTAAGTGATTTTCTCCAGCTTCTGAGTGACTCATTCTTTTCTGAGTAACTGAGTTATTCAGAAAAAGATTTTAGTCGAAAAATACGTTACTCAATGAAAAATTTTAGTTACTCAGCAGGCTCGCCACCTCGCACTAAAACTACTATCGAAAACACTGGTGTGAAACAGTGTGTATTTCAAATTTTGCTTCTCCATACATTGTAACAAAAAAGAAATAAATGTCTTTTTCTAGAATTTTCCGTTAAAATAATGTTAAAAACTTAACATTAAAGGAAATACTTTTATTTTAAAAATATGAAAAGAGCGTCTACATTGTATCTCAGGAACTTTCGTGCCACTTGATTTTGCAAAATAATGTTTAACAAAGTGTAGATATTTCTTTCGATTTTTCTCTTCCACTGATAACAGTTTTTCGAACAAAACATGTGTATATTTAATAAAGATTATTTCAAAAAAAAACGACAAGAAACGCAATTTAATTTACAACTAACATCTAGGAAAAAATGCTGATTCATAAACAAACAAAAATCAGTAGGCATAGAGATTAATACAAAAAACAAAAAGCAATTATTACAAATTGAAAGCGATCTAATATTGTTTTACTAGCTGATAAATAATAACGACAAAAAGAGATTCGCTATGCAAATCCATTTATACATGTACAGTGAAGGCCTATAAAATAATGAGTTTTGAGATCAAGTTTGTTCTGTTAGCAAAGAAAATCAGTACAAGTATACAAAAGTTACATTAAATGAGAAAGAACAAAAGTGTTTAATAACAACTTTTCTCACTAGTTAATGAATTAATTGACATTTGAGATGTTGTATGCTGTTGATTTAATTCACGTTTTCTTATTTCATCTTCGTATATATTCGGTTTTGATCCATGCAATAATCTTCTCTCTTCATCTTCAGCCGTTTCGGTTTGTTTTCTTATCGTTGATGCTATTGCACTATCTGATGTACGTTTAATATTTGTTGAACCATTAGATTTCATATGTGGTTTATTTTGAATATATATAGAACGTAAATCTAATGCTGATAAATCATCATCTTTTTCTGCATCATGTTCGTGTTCAGATGTTTTTGTTGGCGAATGTAGTACATTGGCATTAAATTTTGAACGGGATAGATCGTTATTATTTGATGATGATGGTGATGATGCTATGGCTGCATTAGCCGCTGTCGATGATGACGTTAAACTTCCTCTCAGTGTATCGATGCTTGTATTATCATCTCGATTATTCATTTTGTTAATCTTTCTTTGTTGTCCTAATGATAATGTTCCACTTGAATTCTCTACATCGGATGGTTTTATTAACTGTGTATGTTCATGGGTACCATCTACGTCTTCATCATTATCCACAACTGGCTTAGTCAACAATAAAGTGTTATTTGTACTATTATTGTTTTGATCTGCTAAAAAATCTTGAAATTGACCTAAATCAATATGTTTATTATTTATTAGACGTTTTCGATTATTTCCTTTGTGTCTATAGCAATATATGAATAACAAAAATAATATGGATAATAGAAATAACAGGCCAAGAAATGATAAACCAAATATAAGAGCGATTTTATATTGATGAAAAAATGATGCTGGTATAATATCGGCTCCACTGCCATCCTCATCGATGGATCGAGTTAAATTTGTTAACAATGATTGATTATTTGTGACTAGTGTTACTAATGGACCACCTATACGACTAAATTTTGTTGTGAAAGAACTAAATATTAAAAAAGAATAACAAAAAAACAATAATCCTGTGCGAAGAAAAGAAAAAAGTTCGATCTTACTCTGTCTGATTTAAATTTAATGAGAATGTTGTTAGTCTTGTTCGTTTACGTCGTTTTGTCGTACGCGTGAAAAAATTAGATATATTCATTGTCATTTTGTCGACTGTTCAACTTGATTCTCATCTAAAATAAAGTATAAATGAAGTCTTTAAGATAATCACACTTATTTTTTTTGGCAGTTTAAATAGACTACTTCAAAAATGAGACATTATAAAATTCACAATTCAATATCATCTTAAAATAGAATTATTTCAAACACTCAACGAACTGGAACAGTAAATATTTTCTTCAATAGTGAGACGAAGTAGATCGAAATAGAATAAATCATAGACTGTCTCGTATGTTCAACGACAAAGTTGATTTCTGCATTTTGGAACTAGCTTTGTTCAGTGTTAGATCAAAGCTCTGATACCATCTTTAAAATAGAGTTGCTCGTGCTAAACAGTAGAAGCGAATCAAGAATACAGGTTTAAGAAGCAAATATGATTGAAGTGAACATAAACAATTCCCAATAACAAATGGTACATAATGTTCTGTCTCTTATTTAGTTTTGAAACAACAACACAAAAAAATATATAAAAATATGAGATTCACTTTTCATTAAAGATCATTGACTCCATTCGATTTATTTAATTATATTTTGCGTAAAATCATGATGAGCTATAATATAAGTAGAGATAAACACAAATTTGATGACTCGATTATTCTTTTATAGAAAACTTACGGAAAAAGAAATATGACATAGTACAGTTACCTTTTTGGTATTCTTAGAAAATTACTTAAAACTATTTCAGAGTTTCTCTCTTTTCATCCGCATATACTGTTTACATTTCTCAATAACCATATCCCTGATTATCAGTAGTTTTTTTAGAAAGAACAAGCAAGATTTATATAGATGAAGTAAAAGCAAATAATTTTTCTATTCTATCCACCTCGAGAAATGGATATCATAATTATATATTTTCTTTACGTATACGAATGAGTTATATAACAGAGAAAGAAAAGGAAGAAAGAAAGAAAGAAATTCAATCTTAGTACAAGTATCGTGATTAATATTAATACATTGCCTAAAGTAACAAAAATTTTTTTATCTTAACACTGCTAACGACGGTCATATTCTTTATACTTTAAGGTTAAATAAACAGATTTTCGACACTATTGTGGCAGCAGCATTCTGTATTATCAAGACAACCTACTTTCTAAAACATCACTAGGCATCCATCAATTGAAAGTAGAAAGATTAAAAAACATGAATAATAAATTAGACGTTTAACAAAACTTTGATAGTGTATAATATGACTTGATGCTTATTCGTATTCTCATTTCGTAAACAAACATATTATTTCTTGAAAAAGATAGATTTAATAATTTTTTTTAATTCATAATTCATTGATGCTAAAAAAACACAATACGTAAATAAACAAATACAAAAAACACCCACATGGACGGATTTGAACCAGTTCATGTAAATAAAGAAAGGATAAAACAGTTTTTAAATGTATTAACGTTAATCTGAGTCGTCATCATCATCATCATCACCACGTTGACCACCTCGAATTGTTTTCTCTTTCTTCCCAAATCTTTTTACTTTGGATGTTTTCTCATCTGGTGGTGTTGACAAATCACCTTTGTAATCGATAACAGACGAACAGCCAAGACGCCATTCAAGCATTTCTGTTGAAAACTCATCATGATTACCTAAATCAGTAAAGCCAACAATTTTATCTTTGACAATGTTGTCAATCAGTAATGCTAATGTCGGTAAAACTTTAATATTTAAACGTTCGCATAAAAATGGGGCACGTTCAACATTCAATTTGACAAATTTTGTTTCAATATGTTTTTTTGTTAGTATTTCCAAATGTTTATCGATTATTTTACAACGAATTGTTGCATCACGATAGAAATGACAAACAATTCGTTCACTCTTCTTTGTTATATCAAATAATTCCTTTTCACCAGCTAATTCTTCATATTCACCATGACCTTGAAAAATAAATAAAAGGAGACTAGAGATCGAAAGGAAAACATGAGTGATACAATTCATTAATTACCATTGGTTAACCATTCTTGTTTTTTCTTATGCTCTTTCTTCATTGTTTCTAAACGTTGTTCGCGTACTTTTTCCATATCATCTTCGGTCATTTTTTCAAGACGATTGATTTCTGCATCGATCTTTAAAGAAAAGAAGTAGATAAAATAGAATCATATCAATAAGTAAAGAAACAACTTACTTGATTTTCAATAACTTCTGTCGCTTGCATCAATTGTTTTTCTAATAATTGTTCCATTTTTCAATTATTCAGTTTACGTTTATGTCAGATCTATAATAAACTCTTTTAATATTTTTACAGTGAACAAGACTATTTAAGATTATTTGTCAGTTGTGCTCTGTATTTCCAAATAAGATAAGCCAGTGTAACCCAGATCTTTCAAAGCCGATTAAGCATTCACTCACGCAGTGACTATAGCCTGTCAGCTGTTAATTTTTTCTGCAAAAGATGAACGACAGCAAATTTTAAAACAAAACTGGATATTTAAATAATGAGCTAATGGGTATCGAGAGCCCTATACAACTATAAATTTTACACTGCCACTTCACCTATTTACACTTCCAGACCAAAATTTTCTTTCTGTTCGGAACTTTTTCTTCTTGACGGTTAGCGGATAGTAAACTCATTCAAATTTTGATTCGCATTAGGTCTCCATTGACATGATGTTAATTGATCAATTGATCAATTAAACAATCAGCTTGTTATTCAATAGCTATCAGTTATTTCCTCAAAGATACTCACTGTCGACTTAAAAAAAAACGATGGGATAATTCTTATACGTCAGGTATGAGGCTACCGATTTGTCTCAAATTTTGGGGAATTAAAATATTTCAGATGTCGCTGTTGAAAAAACGTTTTCTGCTGTATTAACGGTCGAAGCATACTAGACACCATCGGATCGAAAATTTTAAAAGCTTGTTCTTTCAAAGCCGAAAGCAGATTCGACTTCTTCACAACGGTCTATCTAATATACAATAACCTTTGGATTGGGATACTTTAGAAAATTATTTTCTCATACTCTTGCACAAAGATTTTTCAACAAGTTTCCGTATGGACTAAAAGGGAAACAATGTCGAGAAATTTTTCTAAAGTACCCCAATTCAAAAGTTATTGCGTACCAGATAGACGATTATGGAGAAGTCGAATCTGCAATCGGCTTTGACAGAACAAGCGTTTGAAATTTTTCAATCCGCCGATATGTGTATTAAACAATTCACTAAATCTTATCAGCGAAATATCAGATAAAAATCAAATAAATATTCGCCTTCACATACTGTCATTTTTCACATTTTAAAAAGTGACGACTGGCTTTTTCAAAATTTTTCGTGTCATGTTAGATCATCAATCGATAGCTAACTTTGACGGCTAAAGTATGAAACAAACGATCAATCAATCATGGCGTTGCTATGCTTGCAGAGAAACAAATATTAATTGGTTAGTTATTGTTAGGAACCAGATATCAGGAAACTTCCTTCATATTGAATATAGAAAAGCGAATATTTCATTATCTGAAACATTTTTCTGGGATAAGATCTGATGTAGCGCACATATGATGCAATTTTTTTAAAGTATAATCTACTAATTAGCTTAAAGTAGCTGTCGCTAGCGTCAGTGGCGATCGAAGTGGAACTTCTTGCTTGCAAAGTAAAAAAATATCACAAGATGTTGAGTGAATCCAATCAAGATGTACTTATATATAAAAAAAGAGTGAAATAGAACGGTGATTTAAACGTGACCAAAATCCTGATGCAATAAAGTTTCACATTATCAAGACCCTAGTGAATGGACTTGAGTGCTTGGAAAAAGTAAGAAGTGTTTTTAAAACTGCTGACTTCATCATGAACTTTCACAAGTCCCTCTCCAAGATTACAATACTTGGTTTTATTGCTACCAAGTACTGTGTGAGAACACTTGAAGTTTAACTCATTCAATCACTGGCACGTGTGGCAAGTATTTACTAGAGACTTTACCTTTCAAAAAAGGTAAGTACTGACTTTATTATGCAAGTGAAGTACGTAGGTTCAAGTATATTCATCAGAATGCTCAAACTGAAAAAAATCAAGATCTTCGGTATAAGAGTTCATCAGGGATTGCTTGCCGTTGCCGATGATATCGATGTCAAGAACTCTCTTGTTATGTTCTTTGTTTCACCTTTCTCTAGAATTGTACTTTTTATTTTTGGTATACATAAGAACAAAGTGTCAGCAACAAAGAAAAACTATCATTTTGTCTTGCGGATGGAGATCTCAGTTTTGTAAAACTTGCATACCGATTATTTGTAATCTAAATATGACTGTTATATATGACTGTTGTGTTGATAACAACCAGCAATTCTATTTTATGATATTTTTTATGGAATGTTGTTAAATCTGATTTTTCATTTACAACAATAAAATAATTTTTTAGCATACATTTTAAGCATACAAAAAAAGAAAACGAATAAAACACCTTAATCACTGTTATCGGACAAGAAGATTTGGTGTACTGTTCGTTTACCATAAAAATCTACTGTTTTGTATATAAATTATTATTCTTAAAAAGTACAAAACTCCTGATTTAATGAAAATGTATTTCCTCCTTTTACAAATTTTCTTGTCTTTTTCATGTGCGTTCACCAGAACGTGTTATGAGTGTTCAACGAACTTCTTCCAGATGCCGACATGTGTATCATCACCTTGTTCAGATACTGCAATAGAGAACAGTACTTGTTTATTGGAACGATATATTCCATTGGATCCAACCGAAATTGGTAGACTTACAGCGTCTCATAGTTATTCGGAACCTAAACTAGCTGATACACTAGAAAAAGCATACCTTTATGGTGAAGAAGATATTGTCAAGACACCGGATGGATATATCTCGGTGGCTGGCGGCATTATTTATGCATGTGATACAGAGTTAGTAGAAACTACTTTCCTGCTGTGATTTCGTATTGACGATCAAAACTTACCTTTTGTGTTTTTAGTGGGTGTAATCATCCAAAAATTGCAGACAGACTTCCTTATGCTCTGGAAACACATATTCCAGACAATATCTTAGATCAATATCTGGATGGTGTAAGTAATTACCAATGTTGGGATTGCGCGAAATGTGTGAATGATACTGTCGGTATTGATAATATGAGTGGATGCACAAAACAATATTGTTTAACAAACGCATGTTCGTTAGTTGTTTCCCGTAATACAAATAATCCAACTTGCCCATATACCATGAGAAGTAAGTGCTATGATCTTGGGTACCCTCCAATTCACGTAAACATGACATTGGTTTACTACTATAATTCCGATAAAAAAGTTATTTATACAATGGACGTTATATGTCATAAGGATAACTGTAATGATTATTCAACTTACAAAGCACTTGAGAATGCTCTTTCGGTTAATCCCGATTTAGCATGTTTGGACATCGGAGAATCAACATTGGCAACAGCAATGACGGCGGGTACTGGGACAACAAGAACACCGGGTACTGGAACAACAGCAACGGCGGGTACTGGGACAACAAGAACGCCCGGTACTGGAACAACAACGTCAGGTACAAAAAAAATAAGTCATTATACAAACATGTGGCTTATTACATCAATTTTTGCCCCAATCCTATGGATTAGAATAAGAGATTAGTTGTACTTGTACTTGTAAATGAGCCAGAAACATTTCATCTCCGATTTTTCTATTGTTCTACGAGAGCAGCTTTATATTATGCTTGGCTTGATTATGCCTATACTTTTTAAGGAGACGTAATTCATTTTTGATTAATCAAATATATAGATGAAATGCTGATATTAATTCGTCTTTCCAGCTATATAGGATTTTTGCAACAGAAATATTCTAGTTTATGACAAGTAAGCCTTACCTGTGCCGATCGACGAGATGTGCAGAGGTATATATCTTCCCTGAGTTTGGAACTATGGCAACCTTCATAGACATCCTACTTTCCATTAAAACCGTCCTACTTTGTCCTATTTTACTGATTTTCTCCTACTTATCCTACTTTCTTGATTTTCTTTTTATTATTCAATGAAAAGACAAAAAACCCACTATGATATCTTTATAAGTCTGAAGATCTTTATTAATATAATATCATCTGATTACGTTCAGTTATTTTTTGGCATATTAAACGCTGTATATACTATACTCTAGTAAAAATCTTAGACACTTCCTAAAATTATCTTACTAAGACCTTATAAGATCTTATCCTTCAAGATTTTGATAAGATAATCTAAGATCGTATCGTTTAAGATTTTACTAAGTTTTAATGATTCCACTTTTTGTTTTGCTCTCATTCATCTATATAAGTAACCGAAAATATGAGCGATTATACAGTTATTTTTCTTCCAGACTCTGCTAATACTTGTTCTCTCGAAAGTGTTCAACAACTTTTTAGAGAGTGCACATGCAGGTCGATGTCCATAGTTGGACATCCGAAAATATGAAATTTCTCTTCATTCTTCAACACTGTTCAACTGGTGCTTTGGATAATGCGGATTAAAACTTGAAAAATTTTCACTGAATCTCGAATGAATATTATTTAAAAAATATTATTTATCGTTCTTACTATTAAGATCCTAACACATTCTTATCCAATCGTGAAAAAGTCTCATACAGTATAATCTTAGTAAGATTTCGCTTAAATTTGTCTAAGATCTTAGAAAAATCGTATCAAATCTTAGAATTTTCGGGTCTCACGATCTTAGTAAGATTTTTTTAAGATCTTAGACAAATGTAAGTGAAATCTTACTAAGATCTTAGTAAGATCCGAGTAAGTTTTTCACTAGGATAGATCAGCTAAGATACAGGGAAAATTTGATGTCCAAAAATATTCAGGTGCAGGAAATACATTAATAGATATAATCACAGCAGCTACTTTCAATTCCATTTCTTAAATTTATTAACCACTTAAAATCCAGTTTTCTAGGTTTCGAATGACACAGCGTTCAAAAACAGAAAGTAGATGCGTGTAGTAAACTCTGAAAACTAAAATATGATTTTAATTTTTTTGAAATATATTTATCCTTTACGTGTGTATAAAACAGATATAGAAGTACATAGAAATAGAACTACATGACAAAAATATATAAAGTACAATAAGGACAGAGAAAGATGATTGTTTTAATTCATTGTTTTAATGAATATTGTTAACCTTCTGACTGTGGAATTACTGTCTCTCTGATCTCTGTCCAATAAAATAATGGCTGTGACTATTTTTTAAATAACTCGGGAACGAAAAGACAAAAACTTGCGGTTTTCACCATTCGAAAGAGGAGACTTGAAGGCATGTTTTCATACTTTGATTTTCCGCTGTTCGGGCGTAGTATCGCGTTTCCTACGAGTCCAGGACTGACACCCGGTGACTATTGGTAGGCTTGGACACGGATGAACTATGGATAATCGACCATGCTGAGTCTCGTGGCAATATTTGTTTTTAGAAAACTTTTAAAAATCTACCGAAAAGCGAGTTGTACGAAAATTAGGCGTTTCAGGTGGTTTTCAACTAATATTAAAAAATTCAATCTCCGCTCAAAGAACATCAGAACAACTTCAGAATGTAGAGTATTTAAGCTATTCTATATCCTATTCATAGGAGATCTTGAAAGAAATTTTACGAAACCCTAAGGTTTTCCAAAAAGGGCTTCTGGAAAACCTATTAATAAAATGTGCTTTTACATTTCTTCGGTCTTATAATCGCGTTTAGCGGACAGCATTAATCGCATCATGAAGTTTTGAAGTCGTACTGATGTTTTTACATGCGGCCTAGTCTTCCAAAAACCTCCTAGAAAACCTGATTTAGAAAAATTTTTTGGAAAAATTTTGGTTATGAAAACATGCCTTCAAGTCTCCTCTTTCGAATGGTGAAAACCGCAACTTTTTATGTCTTTTCTCCTGAACTAAATGGTAAATTTTGTAAAACAGTATCAAAACTCTTGTAGATTCGAGAAATACTTTCTAAATTGTCTTTTTCTTTCTGAATACTTTTAACGAGTTTCTTCAAAATTCCTTTTTTAAATAGAAATTTCTTCAAAAATGTTTGTGTAATCATCTAATAGAATCAGATACATTCACAAAAGGTCATGAACTTATCTGTACAGTTAAACATAGATTTTAAGCAACCAACATTTGGGTTAAAAAATTGGACAGAATGCTGTTTTTTCTCATTATTTTAAGAAGAAACAGATAAACTCATCTGCACTGAATAAAATACTCAGATACTGTCGTTAAGCACGATATGAGTCAAGTCGAACGTCTTAGTTTGTATCGTAGTCCGTGTTATATGATAAGACGATTTATATTTTATGCACTCATACTCGTTTAAAACTCTAAACAACAAACACATTATATTTTTTATTGAACAATATTTTCAATTCGTATTTCAATCATTTATTTAACAATTAATTAAACAACGTTCAAGTAAAAACATCTATTTTAATAAACAAATAATTTCATTGCTTAAATCTGATAAAATGAGAAATTTTCAACACAAAAAAAAGAATTAAATGAGCTAATAGTGATTTTCTGCAAATCATTCTTGATTTTCATCCCCTTCCTCCAACTCTGTTTTGTCGTCAATTTCATTTTGGCTAGTATCCATCTAGAACAAAAAGAAAGAATTATTTTATGGCAATAAATTTAATTTAATTAAAATGACAGTTCATTCTCAATTTAACCCTAATAGAATGATTAACTTGCGATAAAATATTAGACATTCAGACAACTGGAAAATCAAAGATGCAGATGTTTAAAATTATTGAATACTATTCAAATTCTTGCAATCGTTGACTTCAACACCTACTTCTGTTCGTTTTTCACCACTGCTTAGGGTCAATCGTGTATACACTTCATCTAATAATTCATCGATATTCATTGAATTTTCATTGATATCTAATGGTAAACTTTCCAAACATATCTGAATACTTTTCATTAATTCATTCAATATTTGATTATCAGTTTCAACTTTCTAAAATAAATTCATTTCATTTTTTACTACAAGAGTTTCACTTAAACATACTTGTTGAATAATTTTTGTCGAAAATCTAAATATTAAGCTTGCAATCTCTTTGCAAATAGAATTTTGTGAATTTTTTATCTCCATTGGAACGAAAGCGCCCTATAAAGAATAATAGCAATAGTTGTAAATATGTAACAGAAATTTTCTTTTACAGATGATGCTGTTAACACATTATCATTAAAATTTGAATCAACAATTTGATTTAATGTAGATTCAACATGAGTTTGATGATGTCGAAGATGAACGAAATATAATGCACGTAGAATTTGAAATACGGATAAAATTGTAGACGTATCAAATTCTAAATTGAAAGAAAAACAAATAATTTGTAGTTTAAAACAATTTTATTCACATTCTTCAATTTTATTTAGAATTGAATATTTTGAAATTTTAACGTTCTTATTCGTTTTATATTCTTTTAAACAAAATGTACATACCATCACCTATTTGAACTTCAATATAATATTCAATACAATTTATTCTTGTTAAAAATGAAGATATTTTCAAATTAGTCTCAATTCCACGCATCATATTTTTACAAGAATCATCACTTAATAAATTCTAAACGAATGTAATTAAATCAAAAATTTTAAAGCTATTTAAAAACTATTCCATCTTACTTTGAAAACTTTTTTATGTAAAACAATCATATATTCCCAAAATAATATATCAAAATCTAATCGTTGTTGTTTTTCTTTATCTTGAAGAACTTTTATTAAAAAATTTAATGCATTTTTTTGTTTTGTAGTATTACTATGAAATATATCACATCCAAAATAGGCTATAATATCAAATGTAAATAAATCACTAAATGATCTAAAAAATACAGAAAGACGAAATCTTATGCGTAAGAAATTATGTTGAAAACTTACTTCCATATATCATTGATTAACATGTATATAGCATTGTTATTTGCAATCGTTTTTGGACTATAAGTTTTTGATGTAATAACAGCTAAAATTTGTTTTATATGTGAATAAATTTTGTCATTTTCAAGATCTTTATGACCACACAATGTTCGTATTATACGTATAGCATCGAGAAAACGATCATTCTTCAAAACAACCAAATACATTTTAGACTAAGAAGATATGATAAAATATGTCATCCTAACTTGCACATCAATATCATAAATACATTCACGAATTGTATCACTTGAAATAACTTTTGGTGATAATTGGCACAATGTTAATAAACCTGAATAGGCTACATCACGAATATTTACTTGACTATCACTAAAAAATAAACATAAATCTGTAATACATGTTTTCTCTCTCAAGGTAAATATTCTTGATGATCTACTTACTGTAAACGTTTACGTATTGAATTTGTTACAATATCTGACACATATTTCGTAATTTTGGCACTATCCTGTAGTCAAGAAGGAAATGTATCGATAAAATAGAAGAAAACACTTGCTTTTTCATTTTACTTTTTGTCCAAGATATGGACATATCTTTCCTGGTTTACTTGAACTGGAATGAACAGTTGCTGTTAATAGACCTTTCAAGATGCTAATCACTAAAAGGAAAATAAAGAGAAGAACTTTTATGATATAGACAAATAAAAGAGATTATACAAGCCAATAGAACAGAATAGCGATAAGACAAAATTGGTGAATGAAGTTCATCACAATAAAGTTGAATAATTTTTTTCAAATTGGTTTGATTATTTTCAGCCGTAACATCTTTAATAAGTAAACAGCCAATTAATGCTTGAAATGCTTCAAAACGTTCATGATTTTTCTCCTCTTCCTCCTCTTCTCTTGTTTGTTTCATTAAAACTCGCTCACCAGACCACTTCTAAAATGAAAGAAGCTTTTAAAGATATGTTAACATCCGACCTTCGACTGGCGGTTCGACTAGCGAGAGAATTATGATGTTTAATGATTATCCTACGGATTTTGATAATTCTGAATAATTTTCAGCAAAAATTCTTGAGAATGACTCTCAAGCAAGAGAATGAACAGACAGGCGAAGGGTTTAACTTTTCGAAGAAAAAGTGCCATTAATGTGAAATCAAGCAAATCTTACTTCTTTGATTAAATCATCTCTTTCTTCACGATCCATTGCCATAAAATCTTCGAAATCATAGGCAGCCGGTTCACAGCCCGCACGAAGTAAAACAAATGCTAACACATACGAATTCGCACTACCATCCTCAGTCGCATTATAACGAATGATCGTATTCGAAACTAAATCTTTTGTTTTTTGAATCATCTAAATGAGAAATAAATACTGAATAAATTAAAACACTGAGTAACTACTTACTTCAACATTCAATTTCTTTTTGTAGTAAAGTGCCAAATAATTTTCGATATAATCCATGTCGGTAAATCGCCTAAATTTTGATGGTTAGTCACGATTCAAGAAATAATCGTCGCTTAATCGCGATTCCGAAGGAAATCGGTGATATATCAACGATTTTCTTCGGAATCGCGATTAATCATCAAAATTTACGCTATTCGAACAATCATTAATATTTCAGCATTGATGTAACATTTCGTCATTCAAGTACTCGCGCTTGTTTGGGACAGCATGTATACGCAGGGGACGAATCTTGCAATATGATCTTGTAAGATCATATTACAAGACACTACAAGGTTTCACAAGAACTGTGATTCAAGAATCTTATAAGATTTCACAAGATTTATCCGTAAGATTTTGCAAGACCTTGCGATATGATGTTGTATTACGTTTCTAATAGCCATACGCTTTATTTGTGCTCAGCTAATGTGTAAAGTTGAAGGAAGAAAAATATTCTAAGCTTTGTCATAAGAACTCTGTTATATATATACGAGCAAAATTTCTGTGGTAAGTATAAACCATCACTACTTATAAGACCTTATAAGATCTTATAATAAGAAATCGTATGATCTTCTGATAAGAACTGAAGTAGATCTTGCAAGATCATATGATTTCTTGTTACAAGATCTTGTAAGATCTTAACATTTTTATAAGTTGATCTTGTAAGATCTTACAACAAGAAGTCACAAGAATCCCCAAGATCATACGTGGTCTTGAGATAAGATCTTGCAAGGTCTTGCCAAAAGATCTTGTCCCAAATTGCATAAGAAGTCAACAGATTTTATAAGATCTTGTAAGACGTCTTTCACCTGGGTAGTGGTGGCGTAGCCGCCGGGTGGGCTCAGCCCACCCACTAACAAAATCTTGGCTACCCCGCTACTGGGTAGGAGCTCAACAGATCATTTGCACGTTAGTGCGCTGGTGTACTAGTTTGCTATCAGTGTTTATTGGCCTCGAAAATAATACACTCATTATAAGGATGAGTTATGCGTTCTTTTCGTGGTGTGGTAGATCAGGTGGTGAATATTTTTACCGAGCGACTAACTTTACTGGCCAAATTTGATTGGTGTCACCATTAGATAGACCAATCAAATTTGGTCAATAAAGTCAGTCGATCAGTGGAAATAGTCACCACCGCAGATCAAGAAAAATTAGCGATAGTGATTTTTTACTGATTTACTGACGTTAATTACCTTAGTTCATTGGTTGAAAACATGGATCGACCAATGGAGGAGTATGAAGGTAGGAAATCAGTAAAAAAGTCAACCAAATCAGTTCAACACACGAGCAGTGGACAGATAGACAGCGTATGCCGCTTAAGCATAGTTCATCGCTGCTTTCAGCTTCTTGCTCTCATTTTAGCACTAAATCTGCATCGATTTAGTATAATACTGCACCGATTAAACGAATTCGTTTGATTGCAACACATTCACTTTCTTGTTGTATTTCTTGCAAGATTCCTGTTTCTTATAATTTAATCCAAGAATCTTAATTATACATGTATCTTTATCTCAAGTTCCTTGGCTGAAATTTCTGTCCTGTGATTTCAGCCAAGAGTCATGGGACTGATTCTTATGATTCTTGGCTGAAATCACAAGACAGAGATTTCAGTCAAGAATCTTGTCATAAACGTCCTTTAAGAATCTTGTCTTGTAATTCTAAAAAGAATCGTGCAAAGAAAAAAATGCATTTATATAATCTATTTTTTGTCGTCTTTTCTTTTCATTTTTTTACTACTCCTGGTTCTAACCTTAGTTATCTTCTTTATTTTGTTATTTTTTATTACTCTTTTGGTGTTGTTTGGCTTGAATCATTGTTATTGCAAGTCGGTGACCTTTGATGACTCTCACTTTTCGTGAATAACACAGTCTTAGTCTCATATATATGGAAGCTGACTGCCGTGACGCCAATATAGGTACATATAAAGACTAATTTTATAGAGCTCATCAAGTTACGTAAGAAACTGTCTTTTCTGGCTTCACAGCTTGTGCAGAAACCGAGAAAAATGACTTTTACTCTCTCACCAAAATTATCGGATTCGGCGCCACTCTCGATGCAAGTTGGTTAGTACCAAGATAAGTTGTACTACATGTTCTCGCGTTTTTCAGCAAAGGTCTTGGGATTTTTATTAAAGAGTTAGACCTGAACTATTTTGTCTAAAACTTTGAAGAATGTTCCAGTAAGGTTCACGAGATGTTAAACTTTTAAAAATGGAATATATTTCAGTTTTATTTGGTTATTTTGAACTTGGATTTTGATAAAAACAGCTTTCTGTAGGTTTTCTTACATTCTGAGTTCGATGATGAACATAAAAAGCTGCTTTTCCGAATTTTTATATGGTAGCTGAGGCCATTAGTAATAGGTAACTGACCATTTTTCTTTTTGGTCAAAACTAGGCATCCATAAATCTCTATTATCAACGTAAAATTTGGAAATTTTTCAGCAATAGTAGGGATTTACCTCCTGATTAAATTAAAATTATTCTAATTTATAATTAACCCTTAGCAGATCTCTATAATGTTTTTCGAGAACATTAGCGCTTTTCATTGTTTTAAACATATCATGTAGAAGAACTACCATCTGATTTGCTTACCGTGAACCATAATCTATGAAAGCTTTTTATTTTTGTACAATATCTAAAAACATTAATCTCGTGAAACATGAATCATACATATCACAAAATAAAAGCTGATGTACAGTACACCAAAACTAATGACTGTAAACAAAACGATAGGAAGATACACAAAAAATAAGATTAAATACATTTACTACCGTGTATGCGCAGAAACTTTCGAAAAAAGAAGGATGAACATCCAAAACAATATGTGTAATCGAACAAAAACAAAAAAGACACCGGTAAAAGTGTGTAAGTAAGACAAGCGCAAAAAAACAAAAATTTAAAATGACAAAAATCATTTTGTAAAGCTCTCTATAACTGGCTTTTTTGCCATGGAGTCCAAAAATTTTCTTTTATTTCCACTGACGGAATAAAAATATCGTTATTTGTTGTTCGAGAAGGATCTTTCGATAAATGTTTAAGCCAAACTCTACGCTGCATTGCATACAATGTCTCGGCTTCAATACGTTGCCGTTGATTTAGGTCTTGCTACAAGAAAAGTACAAAAATTAAAAAAAAATTAGATCAGGTAATAAACTTTACTTACACTAAAACGTTTATATTTGAAATTGGAATCGTCTATTGTCTTTATAAAAAATCGTCCATTCCAACGATGTTTTCGTTTTGCAGTCTCATTATTCAAAGGTTTTCCATCACTATCCGTCAACCGTTCTTTGTCAGTCTAAAGTAAACAATTAACATAAGTAATAACTACTATTCAGGTATAAAGATATTATTAACCAGAATGCTTACTTGCAGTGATGATGGAAAATTATACACTTCACTGTCTTTGAGTAACGCACAATAGCTAAATGGAATATCTTGATTAATTGACGATCGTGTGGCATTTCCGTATAATCGAAGAATGTCTTGCTCATGAGATAAAATCAGTTTGTCCTTAAAACAATAGCAAATCAGTTGAACAAATAGAGCACAAAGCATGAATGCATGTCTACTCACTCTTTCAACTTGATGCCTTAAACGCATACGATATCTTTCATCTTCTTGTCGAATAAATAGCTCCGTGAGTTGTTTATCAAGATCATTAGGTGGAGGACACTACAAGAAATAAAACAAAAATTGTGTTAAAATCACCTAGACTCTTGAGAAAATGACAGTACATACTTTCTCAATACATAAATCTTCTGGTGTCAATGTTGACGACGAAGTTAGATAGTTCTTTTTAACCATTGAAAATTCGTTAAAGTCTTTTGGTGTTTTAGGTACCATTGAATTATGCATCATTAATTCATGACGCTTATCAATCTAAGCAAAGAAAGAAGGAAAAATAAAGAAGATAAATAAATTAAAACATACTTGACGTCGAATCTCTAGAAATTTTTTGATACAATTCACGGGCAATTCTCGCGTTACATTATTTGGTGAAAGTGTTCC